AACGCCATAGCGTTCGCCACATAGCTTGCACCGCATAGCCTTCATCTCAACGGTGCAAGCATGCACCCTTTGGGGTCCACGCTGGCTAACATATTTTCAATAAAGACATGTCGGGACGTCTGGCTCCCCACAGCCCTGTGGGTTTGAGTGGTTTAGCGAGCGTCCTCTTCCAACCCCAGTCTACCCCTTCGGGGAGGGGTCTACCGTCCCCCTACCCCCCAAGTGCCCCGGACTTGGACAGGGGGGCCCGCGAACCACTGAAGCGTCCAGTATGGCCTCGGCGAGAATGCCAAACCCACTGATGGTACTCGTGTACTTGGGTGCTGGGTCCTGGCTGGGTCCTCGTCGACGCTCCCCGCCGCCGCCGACAGCGACGCCGGCGCCGGCCAGGGAGTCAGGGGGGGGGCGCCGCCGCAAGCCCAGGGGGGGGGTCCAACTCCCCCCTTGAGCCAAGAGGGAGGGGGGGGGGCCTGGTTCTGGACCCGCCCCCGCTCCAAGCGCCCACAGAAGGGGAAGAGGGGGGGCGCGAATGCACCCCCCCCTCCCTTCTTTTGCGCCTCCCAGATGGCTCCAAGGTGGTCCCCAAGGCTCTCCCAGGGCTCGCAAGAGAACTCCAAGAGCCCCCCCCGGTGGCGCGCAGGAAGCCCCAAGAGGCACCTAAGCGCCCAAGACGCTCCCAAGAGACCCACAGGAGGCCCCAAGAGGCTCCCCCAAGACACCCAAGACGCTCCAAGGGGCACCCAGGACCGCCAAGAGGCACCCTAAACGCGCCCAGAGGACTCCAAGAAACTTTTAAGAGACATCAGAAGAGACTCCGAGGGGCATTCAAAACGCCTCTGGTCATTCTGCTCGCCCTCCTCCTCCTCCTCCTCTTCCTCCTCCTCCTCCTCCTCCTCCTCCTCCTCCTTCTCCTCCGCATGTTCCTCCACCCCTCTTGTTGTCCCTGGCCATCCCCCCTGTCCTCCTCTGCCCTCCTCCTCCTCCTCCTCCTCTCTTCCTCCTCCTCCTCCTCCTCCTCCTCCTCCTCCTCCTCCTCCTCCTCCTCCTCCTCCTCCCTCCTCCTCCTCTCCTCCTCCTCCTCCTCCTCCTCCAACGACGACGAATCCTTTCCCATCCTCCCCCTCTTGGGGTACGACGGCTTCCTCAGCCCGTCATTAAACTGCATGCTCCTAAGCATCCCTGATCAGGGCAACTCGGCTGGGCACCGCTTCTGGATGGGCTGATGGGGTTACGTGAAGCGTCTGTAATTGGTGCAGGAGCGCAGCTTTTCACCGTCCCCATCAGCACAATCGTTATCAACATCGCCAGAGTAAGTAGGCATTATCCTCGCCATCACAATTACCATAAGCATCAACATCATTAGCGCTCAGACTCATCGTCATCATCACCACCATGTCATCAACACCATCAGCAGCATCAGCATGAACATCATCAACGTCATCACCACCATCGTCGGTATCATCGCCGTCATCGCCGTCGTCGATGCCGTCGCCCTCATCAACTTTCTGCGCGCAGACACTTCTTCCACGTCATCGCCAGCCCCATCGTCATCATCAGCATAATCAGCACCATCATCCTCATCATCATCACCAGCGCCATCACCATCAACATGATCACCATCACCATTATCATCACCATCATCATCATCGTCATCATCATCATCATCATCATCATCATCATCATCATCATCATCATCGCCAGCGTCACCCGTGCCACCGTCAGTATCATCACCATTAGCCTCAACGCCATCACCATCGTCGTCTTCGTCGACACCGTATGGTCCCCATCTCCACTTTCATCGCCACCAGTATCAGCGTCATCAAAAATGTCTTCGCCATCGTCGTTGGCGTCGCGGTCGTTCATCGCCACCACCATTTCGCGACCAAGATCATGGACTTTTCTGCCTTGCTGAGTTCCTCGCGCCTCAGCGCTCTTCGGGATCATGACCAGGTTAAATGTGCCAACAAGCTGCGCTCAGAGGGTGGGGTGTTTGCACGACCATGGGAATTGACGACGTCAAGACGGCCAACATTTTGGCACCACAAAGACTGCACCACATAACCAAGTAGATTCTCCTTACTAAAAAAACATGGGTTCTACCACCCTCCCCCACCCGGACTTATCGATTCCCCAGGAACCGATGCAAAACACACATGATTCTGACCCAAAGTCCATCCGACTTGTGAATTCATACTATCCCAGCCAAACCGCCAAACCGGTATCGGCCCCCGCTCGGGTCCCTCGCAAAAATACTATGCGCGCACACTCGTTCATCAAGAATCAGAAGTTCTCAAAAATCCCATGCAAAAAACGAGACGAAGTGCACGCGCGCGTCCTCGCGCGCGCATGCCGCAATCTTTCAAAAACCTTCGGTTTCGAAGGATTTCAAAATCGAGTGTCCAGAAAAACTAATGTTTATTCCTCTTCCTATATTTTTATAAGCCCAGGCAGGGGGAAAACCCGTCACCCCCCCAAAAACCGGACTCCCGGGAACTGTTTGGGGCCCTCCGGACGGGCCTCGATGCGACCACCGGGCCTCGCAAGGCGTTTTGCCAAGCCTCCCCAACACCCTTAGGGCGATCAGGGGGGTCATCGGAGACGTCCCAGAGACCCCCAAGACAGCACAAGAGCGCTCCAAGAGTGACCGACATGACCTCAAGATGGCCCAAGAGGCCTCCAGGACGGCCCCAAAGAGGCCTCCAAGAGCACTCCCAAGAAGACCCCCCCGAGGCAAATTTCATTGATTTTCGATTGGTTTTTGGTGAATTTTGGGGTTCTCTCCTCTTTTCGGCTTCCCGACGCTCCAAGACGGTGGTCTTCTGGGCGTCCGAAGCCGCCTGGGAGGCTCCCAAATCGCCCCACAACCATCCGAAAGAGCTTCCAGGCAGTCCAAAAGAGCCCCAAAACGGCACAACACGTGTCAAATATGGCCCTCAGAGAGCCCCATGGCGGCAAAGATGGCCCAAAGACGCCCTCCGAAGAATTCCAAATCGTGATTCGGTCTTTCAGGGAGACGGCGGTTGGAGGCAGGGTGGCCCGAGGAAACCCCCGGAGGCCCCCAGAATACGCCCAGGAGGCCTCCAGAAGGCCTTAAGAAAGCCCGAAACAACTTTTGCGAGGCCCTTAGAGGCTCTCCAAGGAGGAGCCTCCACAAAAAGAGCTGAGGAGGATGGGGAAACTGCGCTGGGAATGGTGAAAAACAAGGAACAATAAGCATGGAGGAAAGATAACGAATAACATCAGTATAGCGGCGATGCCGGGAAAGGCAACCAGGAGGTATCGCTAAATTGTCGGTTTGACCGTCCTGCCATTCCGCCTGCATACCAAACTTCAAAGACCAAGGTACATGGCGCGAAGCGCCACTGCAGTCTTGTATATATATATATATATACACATACATATATATATATATATATATATGTGTGTTTCGCAACACGGACGTTCAACAAAAGCGTGCGCGCGCTCTTGCGAATTCTTAAGAAAACCATAAGCTTTCAACATCCACATAGCATACTACCAAGCGGGCTTCGCGCGCGCATGCCGGAATCGTTCGAACGCCCTGTGCGCGCGTGCTGGGGTGGCACGGTCCGTGTCAAATTCGCCGGCCCAACGGGCCAGAGGCGTGCTAAGATCTCCGGTAACTGCTAAATAATATTTCTGCTTCGGGCGCGCGGGGCGGCCCCTGGGGGTCCCCGGGCGAAAAATACCCCGGGCGATCCCCGGCAGACTCGGGTCAGAGATAGCTTTCCTCCTGGGCGCCGCCCCCGTGGCCCTCCAGAGAGCCCCAAGAAGGGCCACGAGGCCGCCAAGAGCCCTCCAAGATGGTTCAAGAGTGCTGCGAGATGCCACACGATCGCTCCAAGACGCCCAAGATGGCCCCGAGACGCCCCAAGAGGCCTCCAAGAGCACTCCCCAGAGGGCCCCAACAGGCAAAAATCATTACTTGTCCTTAGGTTTTGGGCAGATTTTGGCGTGTTCGGCTTCCCGACGCCCCAAGACAGCACAAGAGGCCCCCAAGATCGCCCCAAGAGGGCCCAAGAAGCTCCCAAGAAGGCCCCAAGATGGCCCAAGAGAGCTCCAAGACGGCCCCACAGGCATCCAAGACGGCCCAAGAGGGGCCCAAGAGGGCCCCAAGCGATGCCCCAAGGGGGAACACAAAACAAAACTTCGAGCCCTCGGCCTTAAGAAACCCCCAGGAGGCCTCAAGAGGCCCCTGAAAGGCCCCAAAAGCCCCCAAGAGGCCCTCAGGAGGCCCCCAAGCGACGCTGAAGAGGCCCCCCAGCGGCCCCAAGAGGCTCAGTCATGCGAAATGGGCCGGCGGAGTGAGCGAAGCGATTCAATAACACCATGCGGGCCACTCTCGCGCGTGTGCCGCGCGCGCATGTCGAACTTCTTCCCAAACCGTCACCACCGACGCGAAGGCGTCATCATCGTCGTCGGCGTGATCAGCATCGGCGCCGTCACTGGCTGCCCCGTCGTCGCTGTCAGCATCGCCACCAGCATCGCTACTATCGCCATCATACCGATGTCGACGTTGACATGATACCGCGCCCTCCCAAGTCGCCGACTCGAACTGAAGTACCCGCTGGGATGTGCCGAACGGTCAGCGCCACCGCGTTCGCATCGGTCGCGCCAAAGTAGCTGGCCGCTGCGCGCGCGAGCATGCGCGGGCTAGCGCGGCCGCAGAGATGCACCAGCCAACGCCAAGCACTCATCGCAATCGCTTCCGCATGGGGTTTGCAAACCAAGTTGCGGGTGGGTGGGTGGGATGCTTGCGCGAGCAATGGAGTGGACAACTTCAAGTTGAGCACTGGTGAGTGTCGTCCCGTATGCTGCACCACATAGAGTGCGCATCGAGAGTAGAAGAACCCACTGTGTGGGATCAATGCTGGCGAACATGATATCAATGTTCCTGTTCATCCTCTCCCGCGTGGACCCCTCAACCCAGCAGTCTGATCGATGCCAGACCCGTTCGGAGCAAAGGGCATCGGCGAGGATGCCTGATGTTCATGGTTCCGGTGAAGACGAGGCTTCCAAAGCCGTGCACGAGGGCGAACACGAACCAGTTGGCCGACAGCGAAGACACGCTCATGATGGCCGCGTCCATGAGCACCAAAGGGTGACTCGTGCAGAACGCGACGGTGACGGCCCAGTCGTGCTGGAAGAACAGCATCGCCTCGCCGCACCGCCCAAGAGGCCCGGCCCCGGGCCCTCCGCACGGCCGCCCCCCCCCATGTTCGGGACCACAGGCCAAAACACGGGGTTATAGTCAAGTCGGGCCTGTCCCCCTACAGGGGGATTTTCGACGAAAACTAAAAAATACCCCCAAAAATGGTCAAAATAGTCTGGGGGCCCTGTCTTGAGCACGGTTTGACCTTCTTGGGGCATGCTTGGGGTATTTTTTCTTCTTCATCGACAATCCCCCTGTAGGGGGACAAGCCCGACATAAGGTTATAGATCCGTGCACCTGGCGCCTGGGCGCCTGGCCCACGCATCGGGGAACGTGGCTACCCCCCCAAGGCAGGAGTCCAAGGCCGCTCGCGACCTGGCGACGGCTCGCGTCGACCTCGCGTGGAGGCGGGACCCGCCGCCAGTGCGCGCGCCTTGCTGCACGCGTGCGGTTCTTCGGCCCGTGCCCCACTTCCTCCCGCTCCCGCTCCTCCCTCGCCCGGTCCCCATCCCTCGCTCTTCCCTCGCTCTTCCCGCTGCAAGAGGAGGCAGGGGGGGGACGGGGACGCCGAGCCCTGCGTCGCACCACCCCCCACCGCGATCAACAGAGCGGGCGCAGGCGGGGCAGACCGAGAGGGAAGGGGAGGAAGAGGAGGAAGCTACCGTCGTCGTTTTCGTTGTCCAATCCTCCTCCTCCTCCTCCTCCTTCTCCTCCTTCTCGTCAACATCATAAGTATGCTCGTAAGCGTAACCGACACCAGCATCATCATCACCACCAGCATCATCATCATCATCATCATCATCATCAGCATCATCATCAGCAGCATCATCGTCATCATCATCATCATAATCACCATCATCAGCATCATCAGCAGCATCAGCATCAGCAGCATCATCATCATCATCATCATCATCTTGATCATCAGCATCATCATCATCATCATCAGCAGCAGTATAATCATCATCATAATCATCATCGTCGTCAGCATCGTCATCATCATAATCATGATCATAATCCTCACCATCATCCTCATCATCATCAGCATCATCATCAGCATCATCATCAGCATCAGCATCAGCATCATCATCAGCATCAGCATCAGCATCATCATCAGCATCATCAGAAGCAGCATCATCGTTATCATCATCAGCATCATCATATCATTGACCATCATGATCGTCGTCATCATCATCAGCAGCAGCATCAGCAGCAGCATATATTCGCATTCATCGTCGCCGTAGTCATTATCATCGTTATCATCATCATCAGCAGCATCAACATATGCATGGTCATCATCACCATCATCAGCATCAGCATCATCATCAGCAGCATATTCGTCGTCATCGGCATCAGCATAGGCATCGTCATCATCGTCATCATCATCAGCATCATCATCATCGTCATCAGCATCATCATCATCATCAACATCATCATCAACATCAGTATCAACGTCATCATCATCATCATCATCATCATCATCATCATCATCATCATCATCATCATCATCATCATCATCAGCAGCAGCAGCAGCAGCAGCAGCAACAGCAGCAGCAGCAGCAACATCAGCATCAACATCCGTGTTTGCCGCTCGGGGCCCTCGTGGGGGTTCTCGTGGAGCCGCCTTGGGGCGTTTGGGGGGGGCCTCTGGGGTCGTGTTTGAGGCCCTCTTGGGCTGCTCTGGCGCAGTGTGGGAAGCCATCTGGGACGTCCGGAACTTCTCTGGTGGGCCCCGGGCACGCCCCGGGCAGGGCTCCAGAACGGGAGGGGGCCCGGGGACCCCCCGGGGCCCCCAGGAGCTGGGTTTCCTTTACAGCAGATGAGAGACTGGGCTCGATCACCGCGGATGCCATCGCACGCGCTCAGGCAACAAGAGGCAACACCAGTCAGGGTGATGAAGCGTGAGACGTCGCAGGAACGGCGCAAGACACTGGTCGCTGGATGGGCCGGTGGGGACACACAGAACGGTGGGAAAAAAAAAAAAACTCGCCACTCGTCATCGTTCTGCGCTTTCCCTTCGTCATGCTTATACTCTGCCTCGCCCCTTCCTTCTCGTCTACCTCCTTCTTATCCACCCATTCTCCCCTCCTCATCCACCCCCCTATTATCCTTCTCCTGCCCCCTATCCTTATCCTACACAGTATCCCCTCCGTCTTGCTCATCCAACTCTGTACTTATCCTCCGTCTTAATCCCCTGGATCGCAGATGTAAGCAGTGCGGAGAAGAGGTTGATGTACAGCATCTGGTTATACTTCGCACTGGCGCCATCTGCGAAGGCCCTCTCCTGAGGGGGGGGAGAAGGAGGGGGAGATACAGTCGAGGCGTTGACCTAAGGAACCCTAAATAAGGAACGAGACCCCTCTTTTCCATAAGTTAAACTTCGATTTCCCATACAAAAACCCAAGGGGAACCCCAGGCAAACTGTAAAACAATCAAGAACACCGAGCCCCTCCCCAACGAAAAGCGTTCCTTCTTCAGGGCCCCGACTGTAGGGGGGAAGGAGGGGGGGAGGATTTGGGAGTCTTTCTGCGGGTTCCCATGGGTCCACACAGGGTAGACCACAAGGAGGATGACGTTTCCCCCGCGAGGATTCAACCACTGTGTGCTATCCACTCAGATGGGGGTCTGGTAGCGTTCTGGGTACCAGTTAGAAAAAAACACCGTCATCCAGGACCCAGAAGAAGGAGGAGGAGTGGAGGAGGAGGAGGAGGAGGAGGGAGGAAAAGGGGGACAGGGGAAAAAGGAAGAGGAAGGAGTGGAGGGAAATCATGGTACTGGCCATAGTGGCGAGCGCAGGTCGTCCGCCGGCGCTCAGTCCACGGCGCGACCACGTCGGACCCGCCTCTCGCAGACGCCCTGCGGCGTTCGGGCCGTGACACGACTCTCCGGAGCCTGGGCGCCGCGCCGCTGCTGGACGGCATCCCGAGGCGGCAAGACCGCTGAGAACTGACGAGAACACGACCGAAAACCTAAGCCTCGAACCCAGAGCTTCTCCCCGCCCCCCGCGGCCTGAGTTCATAAAGCGATGTGTAACTCACCACCTGGGAGCCAGCGACTTTCTACACCGCCTGAACCTCGAACCCAGAGCTTCTCCCCGCCCCCCGCACCCAAAAACCTAAACCTCGAACCCAGAACTATTCCTCCGAGATGGCGGCCTCGAGTTCCGGCTCCACCGCACCAGCGCCCCCAAAACATCGCACCGCGCCACGACGGCATGGTCGAAGTCCGGGTGCGCTGCCGGCACCTGACCTCCCCGAAGAGGGGACTGGGATCAAGGCTCAAAGTCTTGATCCCAGGAGGAGGAGAACGAGGAGGAGGAGGAGGAGGAGGAGGAGGAGGACGAGGCCAGGGACAAGGACAAAGGCAAGAAGAGGGGTGGAGGGGAGGGACGACGAGGACGTGACGAGGACGAGAAGAGGGATCGAGAAGACGAGGGCCGAGCAGAGGGAGGGGGAGGGTGCTCAAGGCTTGAGGCAGGCGCCCGTGCGAAGCGAGCCCAGCGACACGAGGTCGACTTCCGGCTGGAAGAAGGGAGCGGGCGGGCGGACGCTTCGGCGGAGCGAGGAGGGGCCAGGCTGTGCTGGCGCCCGGCCACGCATCGCAACCACAGCATCTTTAGGGGAAACTGGGACACACAAACAAGTAGACACAAATCGCCAGATTCCCTACAATTGTCCCATATCTTCTGAGTTGTTGCCTTCCCCTCCACTTCCCATAATTTCCCCTCTTTTCTGGGGAATCGACGATTGATTGTGTCTGTGTGTGTTTTTTCTTCCTGACACCTACAATCAGCAGTTGAAGCTGGTTCAGGATGTGTTCGAGTCTTCCGCCTGTGCAGGGGTGCTGCCTCTCCCGCCTCTGTCACGCACCCCTCTCCGTTTACATCTGGTGGGGATCACTCGCGCGCAGGAGCTCGGGCATAAGCCCGTGGTTCGGCGCCTGGTCGTTTTCCACAGGTGTGCCCCATGCGCACGCTCCAGGTAGGAGATCCCCACGGGGAAATCCCAGGGGTACAGTCGAGGCGTTTTTTTATCCTATCACCCTGGGGCTTATCATGCACAAACCAATTCGGAAGCCGTCTTACGGCCCAGCAAACAGAGCTTGCACGGGCCCGCGGCCGACCAGGCCCAGACCCCGAAACGCGACCGTCACTCCGCGCTCAGACCAACCACTGGCCTGGGGTCCGCCGTCCTGGCCGCCCTGGCGGCCCTGCCTCGCTCCTGAGCCTCGGCAGCGCTGGCAAAGCCGAAAGAGCCAAGGACTCCCTCGAAACCTGGGCGAAACAGACCCCCTGGGGCAGGCGGGGCGGGTGCCCGATCCCGCACCTCTGGGGGCTCCAAGGCGGGGGCTCTGGAGCCTGCAGGGGCCACTGGGTCCTCCGTGCCCACAGTGCCCTCGACCGAGCCAAGCGCCTCGGCCCACCTGGCACGGGTGGCCGCTGTGGGCCGAGCCAGCTGGTCGACCGGCTGCTTGGATTTCCCAGGCAGGATCGACTTCGCGAAATCGTTTCGCGCCTGCGCCCTGGAGCCCTTTTTGGCCCTGGGGTCGTCAGCGCGCTGTGCCCCGCTGCAGGCCTTGGCTAGGCCCCTGTGGCAGTACTGGGGCTCCAAGCAATACATCCAGCACGCCACACACACCAAAAACTCAGGGCCGTCACCTCCAGAAACGCGCGATTCACGAAGACGGTGGCCGTTGACCTCCCAGACCCCCGACTCGGCAGGGTCGTCCTGGGACGGCAACCACGCGAAACACTCGGAATAGAGACCCCCGACATTGGGCCAGAGTCTGGGGTCTCAAACTGGGGCCCTGGGGTCCTCCCCTGGCCAGCTGGGCCTGAGAGGGCTCGCGGAGGCAGAGCGGCTGCCGCAGCAGCAGGGGAGGCCGCAGGGGAAGGAGGGAGAGGGGGCTGCGACACAGCCGACGGGAGCGGGCTCAGTGCGCCCGCGGCCGAGGGCGCTGCCCGCTCCGCCTTCTCTGCGCGGCGACGCTGGACCGCACGAAGCAAGGCCGCCGACGCGCTCGACGCATCAGCGACTGGCTCACTGGGCCCGACGGGCCCCTCGCCTGACTCCTTCCTCTTGCGGACCTTCGTGTCGACCTGGTCCTGGGCCTGGGCTCCCTGGCTGGCCGCCGCTGCCGTCGCCAGCGCTGCTGCCGCCCCCAGGGCCGCCAGTCCGCCAGGGCCACGGGCAGTCGACTCCTCGGCCTCCAGCAGCGGCTCCAGGGCGGGCGACGGAGCGAAGGGGTCCAGGTCCACGAGGTCCAAGGAGGTGAGCGGCCAGGCATCCCTGAGCCCCGACTCGGTGATGCGCACCTCGAGGGCCGCCGCGCACCTGGCCACCTCCTTCGCCCGAGCCAGGCAGCCCTCCAACATCAGGGCGTCATGCTCCGCGATGGCGTGGAAAGCCGCTCCTTCCTTTGCCCTGGTGTCGGCGCGCCTGTTGCCCACGAGCTCGAAAAGGGTGAGATCCCCGTCCTGCACCGCGGCCTCGGCGCGGTGGGCGGGCACGTGTCGAATGATAACACCCTCCGCTGCATCGCCCACCCTGGCCCACACGTGGGCGTGCAGGGAGCTGGGGCCGCAGGCCTTGGTCAGGTTGGACGCAGCCTTCACCGTGCTCAGGCAGTCGCTGAGCAGCGTGTAGTTCCCGATGATGTCGGCGAGGCCGATGGCGGCAGCGTAGTCCTCGCCCGCCTTGGCCGTCTGCGACGGGAGGTCGCTGGGGGGCACTGCGCCCCACGCCTCGGCTATGAGCCTCCCCTCGGGAGCGTACACGATGACCGCCCAGCCAGCGCTCCCGACGTGCGGGAAGTCCCCGTTCAGGCACGAGCCGTCGGTGAATACAAAGGAACCGTCGGGCACCACCAGGATGCCGTCCCCCCACCCGCAGGATCGCCGCGCCCAGCTGTCCCCCCAGGCTGGCCTGGCCACCAGGAGGCTGATGTCGGCGAAAAGCCCCTGACTGAAGAGCTCGTCGAAGGGGGGCCCCATGCGGTGGGCCTGCTCCGCTGCCTGTCTCACCTGGCACGGGCAGTAGTCCCGCCTCCAGGCCGCCCAGGCTGGGCACACGTGGTGTCTGTGGTGCATCGTCCCAGGGGCGGCGCCGCAGAGCCTGCAGAGCGGGTCGATCTCACGCCCGTGCCTCGCCAGTCGGGCCTGGGGCCAGCTGGCCAGCGACGCCAAGCGTCCCAGGCACCCTTTGTGGTGAGCCGTCCAGGTTTCCGACTCCTTGGCGCCGAGGAGCTGGTTGATCGGCGTCCACCACGGCGGCGGCCGCCACTGTCAGAAGGTCTCGGGCCTGCTGACGTACTCCTCGAGCGATGCCGCCTGACGCGCGTCCTCCTTGACCCTGGCGGCGAGGAAGGCGGGCGAGAACCTCTTGACGTCAAACTCGCTGCCCCCCCTGTCGGTCAGGACGCGCCCGTCAGCACTGAGACCCCAGCCGACCCGCCCTAGCGTGAGCACCAGCGCCGAGACGGGGTCGCGCACCGCGGCCCACGGCCTCTGCAGCGAGGCCAGACGGCTGCTGTCCCTGAGGCAGGCCTGCACGGCGGCAGGAGTGGCCTGGCCAGACCAGCTCATGGCCACGAAAGCCTGGACAGCCATGCCCGTCGCAATCACCAGCGGATCCTGCCTCCAGCCCTGGGGCGCGCACTGCAAGCAGAAGGTCAGCGCGGCGCCCGTCGGCAGGTTGCAGGCGGCTTTCGCCGCAGATATCCTGAGCGCCCTCATGCGCCCAGGCGGGATCCCGTTGATGGCCGAGCCCCACAGGGCCTTGGCAGCGGGGCCTGCCCTCTGGATCTTGGCCTGCCTCATCCCCGAGCCGAAGATCCTGGTGAGGTTGTTGCCCTGCCGCAGCGCCGCCAGCTCCCTGGCCACCTGCGTCCCGACCCTGCGGTGGCTGCCCGCCGTCGCGTCGCCTTCAAGGTCGCGGTGGCCAGCGACGAATGCTTCGTCTGCGAGGGCCCAGTCGGCGTGCTGCTGCAGCTCTCTCCTCAGCTTCACCGAGGAGGCCAGTGCCTTGGTCTTTCCCCAGTTGATGGGGAGCCGCTTGTCGCCCAGCACGGTGGCGACGCCCTTCGCGAACCTGGCGATCTGCGCGACGACCAGGCTGCGCGTGCCGATGGCGTGCCCCGAGATGTCGTCAATCACGTTGACCACCCTGCCAATAGGCAGCAGCTTCCTCGACTGCAGCAGGAGGTCGTACAGCATGATATTCGCCATGGTCGTCGCACAGGAGCATCCAGCAATGACGGTGTCGTCGATGACCAGCTGCTCGCTGA